CTAAAAATAAATTAAAACCATAAAAAGAGAACGAAAATACAAAGCACAGCAAAGTACATGCAGCAAAGGTCATGACATTGGTAATGGAGAAGCACAGCTACTCGTCCTGCCAGAGTCTTATAATGAAACTTAATGTTTTACTCGCCAACTTCAGTGTAGAGCTGTCGCTCGCTCTCTTTTTCTAGCTCGCTTGCCCTCACACCGTGAAGATCAACAGAGTGAAGATCAACACAGTGAAGATCAACACAGTGAAGATTGACACCGTGACGATCAACATGAACAGATGGGTGATATGATCTTTATTAATTAGGTGTGGTCCACAGTTGGAACACTTCCTGAACTGTTACCTGGTCAGATCCTGATAAGATCTTCGATACAGGACAACACTCTTCACATACAGTCGGTGGGTCACAGTAGTGAAGTTACACAACTTCAACCAGTCACATTTCCCTGCTTTATTTTTAGTCCTGTAATGTTACCTGAGGTCAGGCTGAGGAATCATGCTGCCTTATATCCCCTGTGAACCAGGGACCTACATGTGGAGTCAAAAGCCTGACCGCATGTCTCCTCTGCTCTGGAGACAAAGGAGAGCTTCCAGAACTCAGTCTCCCAGGGGGCTTCATCACACACCATTCAATGGTGCCACGCTTACCGTCGTATAATCACAACACCCCTAACGTTAAATGTTTCCTCCTGAACACAACTCCACCATCTGTCAGGAAAACGTAAAGTTAAGTTTATTTTGCTGTTGAATTGTCAAATTTCTGCACTTTGGTATCACACATGTGTAAACACATACACCAGGTTGGAGAGGTGCCAGTTCACCTCCCCGGGCGCCTTCATGACTGCCCACTGTTCCGTGTGAAGGCAGATCAAGCTGATCAAGAGAATGCTGCTGGGCCTGTTTGGGGTTTTTCCACCTCGTCGTCGCTCAGAGAAAAGTCTTTTCTGTAACTAATCAACCAATGACTTGATTGATTTTTTTACAGTTCTGTAAAATAATGATTTGATCATTTACATGAATCTTTTTTGCCAGCGTCTCGGCTCTGGACTGAATCTCTTACCCAAACACGAGGGTGCCGTCCCTCCTAATTCCAAACTGGGCGTTCTGCACCCCGCCGCTGTCCTGCACCATCTTGCCATCGCTCACCACATTGCCCAGACACTGTCCTGTGTCTGGGTTGAAGAAGCCGGCGTTCATGGCATACAGACACCCAGCGTCTTTGGCCGACTCCTCCACCAAGGCCCTCTGATTCAACCAGCAGCCGCCCGGCCCTACCGGCTCCAACAGGGACACCGTCCTCAGCGGGTCGTGGACCACCGTCATGTGGCCTGCAAACAAAAACACTGTGTTGAGGTTGGACGACACTGATGCTTCAGGGACACAAAACCAGAACCCACAAGATAGAAACCAGGCCGGGGGGGGTGGGGGGGCACTGGTGTTATATCAATGAACATATTCTGACTCTGTCTCCTCCACAGATGCAAAAATGATGAGAAAAGGGTTCGTCCCTTTAAAAACACAGCTGGTGGCACTGAGCCGGAGACAGAACAGATCCAAATTAAAAATGTTGTCCGTGAAAGCTCCGTCTCGTCACAGTGAAAACACGTGTTGATGACGCGTGGTGGCATCAGAGAGTGTCGGTGGAGGAGCAGCGACAAGTGTTCTCAAAAACTAAAACCTTTTCATACCTCAAATAACTTGTGAAGTATCAAGAAATATTTTGATCATGTTTCTATATTTAGAAAATGTGTTTAATGTTTTGTTGAAATAAATGTATGTCTTAAGTGGCTTAACGCAGTTCTGTCTCAGGCATGAACTCCTCCGTCTGTACACCTGTCACTCTGTTAAAGAAAGAGCAAAAACACGCCTGGATCCCCTGATCAGCTTCTCTCCTGATCCAAAACACACCCTTCCAACAACGTTTCGACAGTTTTCAACAAACACACTGGAGGAGCGTTAGTTCAGAGGATTACAAGTCGTTTGGGACCAATAACTCAATTCAGTTATTTTGCATTTCTCTCCATCACTGACCGTAAACGAATCTCCCCGACACATCAGTCACAAACGGTGTGGACTCGGCAAAAGGCAGCCCGCTGCGGTTACTGGAGGCCCGGCTCTCGTGGGTGGAGTTTCCATGAGCGATGGGCTGACAGTCTCGAACATGGAAGTGAGAGTGTGAGGGGCCGTGGCCGTGGTCGTATGGCCGCAGGATGTCATCGTCCAAAGAGACGCTACGAAGCAAAAAGAGAGAGAGAGAATGTGTCTTATGATACTGTGTGTGTGTGTCTACGGAGCAATTAAAAAATTATGCACAGGTGCCAGTCACAGAGGCAGTCGAACAGGACGGACATAAATTGTTCTCTTATGTACGTGTGCCAAGCAAAGCATATGTTCTTAGCTGCCAGTTTATTTGTGATATGTTAGGGTGTGTGGACCAGTCAGACAACTGTGGGTTTATCATCTTCATCACAGAGATGAAAGTTTCGGTGAACTTGTTGTTTCACAGACAGCAGCACAGTGGCACTGGAATCTCTGGAATGCTTAAAATGATTTAATAATATAACATTGCACAACGGCAGGATTTTTTATCGCAGGCCGGATATAACTGTACCTTGATTGTTTTCAAACACATCATTTTCCTCAGACTTTCTTCAGTATATCAATTATCAAATCAGCAAACTGTAAAAACGTCGAACTGAACAATCCTTTCAGAAAAAAATGAAGCCTCAGCAGCAAACCAACGTTAGAACCACATGTAGTGAGCGAAGCCTCTTCTCTGCTGACTGACTGAAGAAGATGAACATTCACACGACTCTGGAATAACTCTGGAGGAGGCAGTGGAAATAAAAACCTCTTTTCCAGTTTGAGTTTGCTTTCACTGATCTTCACGAAAATCAGCAAATCGGCACACACGTGTGTCATGACCGAAGACGAAGGAAAAAGTCTCAAGGAGCATTGTGAAAAACAGACATTTTACATGTTGTGTATTTTAACGAACTTCTCCAAGAGCTCTCATCAGATCAACTTCAAGGATAGAGATCAAAACTACAACATTTTTGAGTTTTCGTCATCGAGGCGCCAAAGTCTGATTACACGTTGGTTGTTGTATCGTGGGCATACATGGTCAGTCTGTGAGTTTTTTATCAAACACCATGTTAGAGGCAAATCGCCCCCACACCCAGAAATGCTTCCCTTTGTTTTTCTCTGTTTGTTCAGATGTTAATTGCACGCAGCGGGCCTCACCCTCATACACAAATATGTTGTGAGCAGGATGACACAAAAACTGATGTCAGGAAACTTTCTGATACAGAACTGGTTTCATCAGGACACAGGGTATTTGTGGAGGTATGAACTACGGTGGGTATTCATGTACATGTACACAGTACACATGAATCCTTTTTACTAAAAAAAAGAAAAGACAAATTGCTTCTGTTTGTTTTCTCCAAAACTAAAAACCAATAAATGAGGAGTCAGAACAGTTTGTTTGAATAAGTGATCTTCTTCCTGTTTCTCACAGACGAGCATCATGGGAGCTGTGAAGGATGAAGCCAGGACCTCAGGTCTGTTCGAGTCCAGATGTTCGAGTCCAGATGTTCCAAACATCTGTTCCAAACATCAGCTCCAAACATCTGCTCACAGGTGGTGCGTTCAGGAACACTCATATTAGTTCTTGGCTCCTAACTCGAGTTCACGTCGACGCTCAGCAGAGAAACTTTGCGTCACATGACCTCAAGTGAAACTTAAAGAAGTTTTGAACAAAAGCAGAAATGAACTCATGTCAGCTGTCACTCAACCAGTCTGGACCCCCTGGACCCCCCCCCCC